CATATTTATGATATAAAATAAAGTGCTGTGTGATCGGAACAAGTTTGTGCGTATGTTTGGTTTGCCAAAAGGCGTAAATTTGCGTGAAAAGTGGGTGCACGTTTGTGGCCAGAACGTTGGCATTGAAAAATCGACCCGTGGTAATGATATGCGATTGTAAAACACTTTCAATCATGAAAACCATATTTTATGAACTTTTTTTGCTAATTGTCATCAAGTTTCACTTTGTATATTTTATAATAAATACCAATTTAATCGCACTCAATCACCGCGCCTTTTTCGTTTTCTTTGTTTGTTTTCATTCTTAGGCAGATGTCAAAAACACTCAGAAATATACTTTTTTCTTGCTTCTTTGATTAGGTGATCTTGTATTTTTGGTTCATGAAGTTATAAATGTCACGCAAAGCTACAAAGTTTTATCTGGCATCAGCTTAAGTGTTGCCGTGCGCGAAAAACGAAAACGCTGCACACAACCCAAAAGTACTCCTCGGGGACCAATTGGTGAAAAAAACTGCGTATTTATTACACCCGATTTACATGATTCTAGTACTTGAAAGCAATTCTTGCTCATTCTCTTTTTTTTAATTTGCTGATATATTTTCTTAGTACATGCATACATAGATTCCCTTCAAGACCAATGATTTGATGGTATTAATACTTTGACTAAACCCGTATAAATCCAAGTTTCAATCTTTGCGCAACATTAAAAAATCAACAAACTTTCGTAAAAATTTCGAGCCTTTTAATTAGATTTCCTACATGTTTTGAGTATGCAGTTTTCTAGCCCGATCAATTTAAATAAAGTGCAATGTGCAAACTAAAGTTGAATGAGTTAAAAAACTGCAAAATATAAAAAAAAATTGAAATAGAGAGCTCAACATTTTTACGAAAGTTTGTAGATTTTTTAATGTTGCTGAAAGATTTAAACTTATTTTCATACAGTTTTTGTTACGGAATAAACTATGTTTTTATAAACAAATTATTAAAATTAAAAAGTAATAAAATAAATACTCAAATCTAGTCAATAGGTGAGTGCCGCAAAGTTGTGATATTTAAGAACATCTCTTTCTTAATTAACGATGACACCGTTTCTATATGAAGCTGATTTCGAAATTTTGTTTCAATAAGATTTGGTATCGAAAATATTCTTTCAAAACTTGCCTAGGAATGCGAAGTTGATAGCACACCTTATGCTGTGTTATAATGGGTCGTTCAAAACCTTTTTTCAAAACTTACAAAGGCAAAAACGAGAAGGCGAAGACAAAAAGAGAATAAAAAAATGTCCCGCAGTGAATTTTCAGAGCTATATATTTATTTATAGTACTCATAATAAAATTGTACTAAAAAGTACTGCGTAGTAGGAAAGTACTCATAATAAAATTGTACTAAAAAGTACTGCGTATATTGTAAATAAAATTGTATAAAAAAGTACAATTGTACCAAAAATGCCAACACTGATGTTCACTCGTCCCTTTTCTTCTCACCCCCTCTCTTCCACAAGCGAGCAGAATTGAATTCAATACTTGAACTGTGTAAAAGCAGTCTGTTTAGCACAAATCGGAAGTAGAAGCTCCGGTTAGATACAACGACTGCTTTATCGATCACATGTTATATGCATGCTGTCGAAATCGTCGATAATGATGTTTAACCGGCAAGTAGTGATAACCAGACATTGAACAACCGGCCCTTACTGTATATATTGTGAAGGTGGTGTTACTGGCTTCAGGTGTTGCATTTTTAACACATACACTATGTATAAGCCGCACAACACTACAAAAATTCAAATGTTAATTAAAATTTGTTTTTAAAGAACATTAAAAAAAAAAAACGACATGACATTTAAAGCGTAACGAAATATAGGAAATAA